TACGACCACCCATGCTAAAAGAAGACTCAGAGGCTACCGATGTAATAGGAATGGCCAAAACATCCCTAGCCATAATAGCTAATATGGGGTACACATTAATTTGAGATTCCCAATACTTGAGAACATCATAATTCTGCCCTTCAATTGATGGTTGACGAGGAGTATTCAAATAATTATCAATCTCCATCGATGGTCGATTTAGGCTATCATCAACATCAACATCCTAGAAAAGTGCAAAAAATATGCTTTTATTAAATAATAAAAATTAAGACATATAATTATTATTTTAGTAAACCACAATAAACAGAAAATAATTACCTTGAATATATCATCATCATCCAAGAGACTATTTGATTTATCAACCCCAATAGGGATGGAGGGGGAAACAATTGTACTTGACTTAAAACCGGAACACATAGAAGAATAAAAGTTATACAACTCCAAAAGAGCATCTTTAATCACCTTCGCCTTTTCAACACATGCCTCCTCAACATAAAGCACTTTCAACATATTCGTCAATCGAAATAGCTTATAGCGAGGATCAAGAACAATAGCTATTGAAAGGATCAAACTATAGTCATCCCAATAGCCCTCAAACTTTTCAAGCATAACTTTTGCCATGGGTGCAAGTTTAGGGTCTATATGGGCTTTAGTTATTGTGTGCTCAATTTTCAAAACACTAGCAAAATACAAATTTGCGGTAGGATATTCAGAACCAGAAAATAACATAGTGATTTCATAAAATGGCTTTAGGAAATGACATATTTTTGCAAGGGTATCCCATTCATCATCCGAAAGTTTGAATTCATAACCCATATACTTATCGATAACCACTTTCAAGGCTTCCTTTGCTTCTAAAGCTTTTCGGAGCATCGTATAGGTGGCATTCCAACGAGTCACAACATCAAGACGTAACTTACCGTTAAATAGACAGTTAACCTCAGAAAGAGCATGCTCAAATTGAGTAAGTCTAGAGTCCGAAGAATCAATATATTTACAAACCTCACGCAATTTTTGAACACTACTATCAACTTCTTTCAAACCTCTTTGAACAATAATGTTCAAGACATGAGCTGAACATCGAATATGAAAAAATTTACCATTACAAGGAAGAGGAGAAGTCAACATTAAATCTTTCTTCAAAAGTTTAACCATAACATCCATAGATCGAGCATTATCAACAGTAATTGCAAAAGCTTTACCCTGAAGGTTCCACTCCCCAATAAGTTTAAACACAAATTTTTCTATCTCAACACCAGTATGAGGAGGACCACAATATCTAAAATTCAGAATTTTAGACCTTAGACACCAATTTTTATCAACATAATGTGCAGTTAAAGTGAGATAACCTCGATTAGTGCATGCTGTCCACAAGTCACAAGTGAAGCTAACTCTACCTTCAATTCCAGAAAAAGATTGCAACAACAAGGACTTAAACTTATCATGCTCAGCAATACAATATTTCAACATAGTGTTTCTACACACATGCTTCACATTAGGATTCAGATTCGTAAAAACTTCCCTAAGGCCATGATGCTCCACAATATTTAAAGGATAGGAATGCAAAATTATAGCTCTAGCAAGCAATTGTAAATGACGAGTTTGATTAAACGTAGGATCAACAACACTTTCAAGATTTGCAGGATGATGTATATTTTTACCCATGCATGCCTTAGTATGAGCTTTACAAGTGGAAGTACCAGCCTTACCTGGTGCTTTATATTCATTACCGCAAACATTGCATCGCGCATATCTTATCGGAGCAAGACCAACAATCTTATCAAAAAAGGTGTAATGCCTCCACACATCTGATGTTCGTCCACGCTTACTACCACTAGTGGTAGTGACTTGTTGCTGAGAAGAATCTTGATTCTGAATAGTGTTTTGAGAATCTGAAGTTTCTAAATAATCTTGTCTGTCCTCATCATAATTTTCATACCCTTGATCCATTGCTGAAAAAACAGGATCAAAACAACACATTTCAGCCTTATAACAAATAATTGTCCCTATCAATGCTAACACATTTAGGTACTTTTTACACTCTAGTTAAGAGTCGAAAACCCATTACATTGAGATGTACACTTAATAGTGAAACCAACAAATAGAATAGAGAGTGAAAAGTCATTAATCCCATATTATTTTTCTATAAACGCTAATAAACTCATATAATCAAATTTCAGTAGCAACCCATTAATTTTTAACTACTAGAAAATTAAATACTCATTAAGCTTAACCTAACTTACAATTATACAATTATATACTCATTAGGTAAAAAAGGCACCCAAGAAGTTTTCATTTTAACAGCTCTTTCTTGTACCATCTTTATAAAATTCATCTGCCTCTTTTTGATCCCATAATACCTTTCCTCAATTAGAGATTTTCTTTTCATTCTCATTTTTCCTGATTTAAGTGAGAAAAAAACAATTAATTTCACAAATTAGAAAAAACCCCTTTCTATTAAAACCTACATTATAGTATAAGCTTAACCTAATTTACTATTTCTAGCCCAAAAAAACATATACATGCAATTCCAATTTTTAACACAAAATTAACTCAATTAAACCAATATTCAAAAGGGTTTTCATATTTGGCATGATAAAATGAAAACCAGATAAAATTTTAACTCAGAATTGAACAGAAGGAAATCATAGCGAAATTATGAATCCATACTATTTTGAAATTAAATTAATCAATGCCATGAATGATACTATCTATACATGATATAAATAAAAAATCACAGATTATCATGATTTTTGTTACAAAAAATTAGCACATCAATGAAAAAGCAATTCATTGATCAATTTTCCCTCAAAAAAACTAATTTCAGTTAAAATGAAATCACAATAACAAGTACACAGAAAGCAAGGAACTTTGAATCAAACAACACTGAAATAGAGTAAGATTGATTACCAGTGAAGGAATTATACAATTATACAATTATATACTCATTAAGGGGAATTATAACTACAACTTTAATTCTTCTACTTCATAAATCAGATTAAATCAGTTGCAAGAAGTACGAGGAAGAGAGATATCATACCTGGACAAAAAAAGAGAGGTTTAGAGCAGCAACAACACTGATAAGCGAGGATTAGAGCAGCAACAACACCGATGAGCAGCAACAACGAACGAAAGGCGCCGTGAATGAATTAGGGAGAATTGAAAATGAATGAGAGAGACGACAAACGAAGAGGCGCCGTGAATGAATGAGTGAGATCTGAGAGGAGATGAGGAGAGAAAGAACTAGGAGGCGTGAAAGTGAAAGTGGAATTAGGGTATCAAAATGGTTGAGATGTAAATCTAACCATTGATTTTTTAATCTATGGTTGAGAATGGTTTTCCGTGTGTGTTGTGGGGAAAAAAATCTAACCGTAGATTGTTTTTAATCTATGGTTGAGAGTGGTGATCCGTGTGTGTTGTGGGAGAAAAAAATTAACCGTAGATTGTTTTTGATCTATGGTTGAGACTGATTAGATGATGTTTTGTGTGTTGTGTATTCATTTGATCGGGATCAGTCTCCAAGACGCGTATTAAAACATCTACGTAGTATATCTTTATTTTCATACAAGTAAAAATTATAAAAACGTTATATTAATAAAATATATAATGATACAAATTTAAAAAGATCACTCATGAAGTCATGAGTCATGACTCATGAGTCTCGTGACAAAATTAAGTTTTACTGTTTTATAGATTAGTGGTAATTTATGGTCAATATTTTCAAAGTTTGACCCCAAAAATGACAAAGGGACAAAATAAAGGGACGGGTGGAGTATTAAAATAATAGTTAGAGATGGTGTAGATCATTATACTTAAACTACACGAACAATGATCCTAATTTAATTTAAAACAACAGCTCAAGTTATTGATCCAATCAAAATAATGTTCACTAATTTATAACTTTGTACTAATACATACGAAGTATTTAACTATGAGATGGTTAGATGCTATGCGTTAATGTGTACATACGATCGATTGAACTAATCAATATTACCTTGTTAATAAATCATTAATGTTTTCTTTCATTACACAAATCAAACTACTTTGTAATATCTTCATAATTTCATGAAAATATATAAAGATAAACGAGCCATAATTACCAGTCTTGTTGATTAATCAAGTATCGAATTACCAAATTGCAAATTTCCATTTAATAAGAACTCATCAAATCATGACTTTGACACTAGTATTTAAATGATTAAATAAGAAACATATAACAACCTAGTTGTAAAACAATAATACATTAATTCACTAACTTTTATAATCTACTTCGTAATACACTAGTAAGATCAATATGACTAAACTTGAAACAGAACATGATATATATTTATAAAATCAATGTGAATTTGTTTATAATATGATGCCTAAATATGAAATGATGAAGTCTTTACTTTATATAAAACTTGTTAACCAGCAAATACTATCAAATTTCAAACCAAAACCATTTAACTGCCCAAATCCAAACGACTCGATAAACAATTGATTTTTTGAAACCGAAAACCGACCCGAATCGTAATTTAGTAAACTCGGAATGGAACCGATCCGAATAACGTTAAACCGCAGAAGAACCGAACTAGTTATAAATTGAACCAAAAAAGAACCGGATCAATTATAAACTGAACCGAAAAAAACCGAACCAGTTATAAACCGAACCATAAAAGAACCGAACTGTTTCCAACCCGAAACCGCTTCCAACCCGAAACTGTTTGAACCGGGATAAAAACTGTTTACACCAAACCATTAACAAACCGCAACCCGTTTGCATCGAACCGTTTACTACCCGGACTGTTTACAACCCGAACCGAATTAAAACCGATCAAGATTAAACCGAAACCGAATCGAACCGATAAATATTTAAACCGAACTAAAACCGACCCGCGAGACACTTAAACCGATTTAATACCGACCCGATTTAATACCGAACCGATTTCAAACCGAACCAAACCCGAACTGTCAAACCGTTTGACAGTTTGGCTTGGGGGACATGGACTGATTAGAGTCCAATTCATTAAAGCATACAATGTTTATATCAAAGAGATAAACCAGGGATTCTCATGGCTTTTTCCTTCAACTTGACAATCTCCCCTTTCTTCCTCTCTCCAATTCCCTTCATTAATCCTCCCTTACCCCGTTTTCCGATTCGCGTTAATGGGGCTTCCCAATTCAACAGAATCGCTGCACCATCATCAATTGTCCGAGCTTTCAAAGAGTGGAAGGAATATGAACAAGCTGTAAAAGAGAAGGACCTTGCTAAAGCACTCAAGTTCTTAAAGTCCATTGATGGTGGAATTCGCATTCAATCCAATGAGTCTGATTCCGGGGCTTCGATTCCGACTCGTTCCCAATTGGGTTTTCCTTTGTTGGACAGAGATTGGGAGGTTCTTGATACTTGCTTGAATGCAACTGATATGAGGCTTGTTAGTAGTGCTTATGTCTTTCTCCAAGATAGAGGGATGTTACCCAATTTTGGGAAATGCAGAAATCTTGGTTAGTTTGGAAATTCTGAATTATTTTCAATTTTTAATTTTGATTTTGATTGTTTATGCACTGGTATTTTTGGTCATCTTATTGAATTATATGGATTGTGATTAGTGATCTTAATCTTTGCTTTTTGGAGTGTAGAGAAAACCACGTAAAGAAATGATATAGACGGGATTTGATACCAAGACTTTAACCAATTAGGCTAATTGTGCTTTAGATCATAACTTATAGGTTCTAATTGTGCAAATAGCAAGTTAGAAAGGTTTTGGGATAATCACGAATCCGGTTATCTTGTTAAATATATCCATGATGAGGTTAAGAAGGCATGCTATCAATGAAAGTTCTTGAATAGCTTGTATGGTAAGGAATTTTTGTGAGGAAGTCATGTATGTAAATGGCTATGGTGATGCAACTTTACCTCAATGATAATTTTGAAAAGTCCTAATCATAATTGATAGATATTACATGATTGATTGTAGAAATAGAAAAGGGTATTTAAGGATGGACATGTATTAATGTGAGTTTATATATTGTATATGTGCTTATTTTGTGAATTTAGTGATGTATGGATATGATGTGGAACATATCTTTGCAACTAGATAGAAAAGCGTGGAACTTACAAGTGGCATTAGGAACTATACAATTCCTTTTTAAAAATGTGTGATTAGTTTGATTTTAAGAAAAGGCTGCTAAGTTACACTTATTCTTGCCTGAGTGGAATCCCTGACGCTGCTAGACAAGTAATATAGGTCGATCTAGCTGCTAGAGTTTTTATTACAGCATATAATCTGCCTCATTTAACAAATCGATCAAACTGTGAGAACTATTTTAATCTTAGTGCGAACACTTACTGAAATCTGGGGCGTTGGGCAACTGATAATAAACGTGTTTTCACTTTTGGTCGTCTTGGTTAATTTTCATAGAACTTCTCGAGCTTTCCCAAAAATGTTAACTTGTCTCTTACATCTAAGAAATTGGGTGCAATAGAAACTCTTGTTTGATCCTGTCATTGGAACCAAAGCTTATGGTACTGGTCTAAAATTTGAATATCAGCTTGTTCCGAAGTATATGGTTTTTGTGCTATTGTGAATTGCACTTAACTGTCCTTATGCTACTTATAACTTATCTGAAGAAGACTGGCTGAAACAGTTTTCTTTTCTTCTGATTTAAAAATCTAAACATTAATCTACAGGGCATATATGGTCCAGAAAATGTCATATTTTATATTTGCAATTATTATGCTTTGTGTTAGATAGTATTTCTTTTATGTTTACTGTGTTCTGCATATTATTAATCAGTCTCTGAAACAGTCAAACTCTGATGAGCTATGACTCTTAATTTACTCATCAATCTTATACATCCAGTTCTGGAAGGACCGCGAGATGTTACTCCAACAATTCTGAAGTCTTCGACTGGCTTAGAAGGTTTGTCCTGTTGTCCTTGACTTCCTACTATGCAAACTTGATTTTTTTTTTTTCAAGTATTTGCTTATAAGCTTACAACATCACACTCATTGATTTGTTTCCTGTTTGGGAAATGCAACTAAGGCTACACACTAAATTAAAATTCCACATATATCATTGTAGTTTTGTGTAGCAGTTGCTTATATTGAAGGTATGTTACTTATATTTGGCTAGAAGTGCAAGACTCAAGTGTGTTTAAGTGTCAAACACGGTCATTTACTATGGTGTGTGTCCAAGCCTCCAATATTGTATGTCTACCTATTTATCTAATCAATTTCATCATTGTGTTTTATCTTACAGTGTCCAAACTTTCTCCAAAAAAATGGGGTATCAGTGGAGCTTCCAGTGCTGTTCTATTTACCTTTTTTGGTGGCGTGTCTCTTTTGCTCTCCCAAGGAATAGATTTGAGGCCCAATTTAGCAGCGATTTTAGGATTAGCTGTAGCAGACTCTCTTTTTCTTGGTGGTTCTTGTCTTGCACAGATTTCTAGCTATTGGCCTCCATTTAAGCGTCGCATCCTTGTTCATGAAGCAGGGCACCTTTTGACTGGTAAGTTCTTGAAGTTCTTTTGAAACAAATCAAGTATTAAATATAAGCTACTTCGAGTTATCAATCTGTTCAAGAATCAAGATTCTGCATTGATGATGTGTTTGAAGATTGCAACATATGTTATTTTAACACTTCATTTTACTTTAATTACTACTATTGAACTCTTAACACTTCAACATGGATATGAATTCCTAACACCCCAATGTACGCCTAAAACATATTAGGTGGAAGTACCATTCCTTCTCCTTCGTGAGACCAGTATATACTACCAGGCACTGGTTTCAAGAGATTAGAATAAGTTGCAGTGTAAGTGGAGGCAGTGTACCACTTAGCTAAATAGTCTTTTGGTTTGTGATGCATGTATAAGATAGCAGACATTGCATGTGCACAAGGTATCCCAGTTAAATCCCATCCCCTACAACTACAAGTCATTTTCCCCAGATCAACAGCATGACCCACATTTCTATGATGCACCTCAAAGCCTGTTTGGGAATCTTCACCATTCCATCTACATTCACAATTTTTTTGTTCTTCATAGGCCTCCTCGAGTTTTTGGCTTATTCTCGGAGCAATATCACCAACAAATTGTCGTACAATTTTTTTCTTTTCCCTCATCCGGTCCATTAATGCTAACCTGATGTCATCTAACATGGTCACAATAGATTTATACCTGGCCAATAGTATGAAGCTATTGAATGTTTCTGCCATGTTATTATCAACAACATCACATGCAGAATGTGTCTTGAAATGAGATTTACAAAATTTGGAATTTGGTCTAGAGATGAAATCATTGTATGCATCAACTGATAAGGTTTTCAACTTCATCAGTTGCTTTTCATACTCTCCCATACTGGTGGATTTGACAATTCTCCAAAATTGTTTCTCCAACACTTTTCCTCTATGTTGCTTCCTCCAATTGCAATAAATATGCCGAGCACATAATCTGTGCTCAATGTTTGGCCACAATTGTTCAATTGCTCCAACTAATCCCTGTATAGATCATACATAACTTATAAATTATTTACAGGCTTGATAAAATTAAATAAAGGGGTAATATCATGTACAAAGGACTTACAATGTGTTGATCAGAAATGACTGTCCATCCATGACCAAGTGCAATATCTAAGTCCCTACTTACCAATCTCAAAAACCATAGCCATGACTCAGTTGATTCACCTTCCACAACACACCACGCAACAGGAAACATGTGATTGTTTCCATCACGCCCAACAGCACATAAAAGTTGCCCCCCACATGCATGTTTGAGGAAGCAACCATCTACACCGATGATTGGTCTACATGTTTCCATTAGGCTCTTTTTTAAAGCATCAAAACATACATAAAATCTGTGAAACACCTTTGGTCTACATCCTTCACTTTCTAACGTTTTCGGCACACATGTAGTACCAGGATTACTTTTCACTAATTCTGTCAAATATGGTTTCAAGATTCCATATTGTTTTTGCATCAAACTTTTAACAGCATTAAGAGCCTTATTTTTTGCTCGTTGACATTTTCTGTCATTCACCACAATGTCATATTTGGTCTTCATCTCCGCCTTCATCTCAGTTGCCTTTATCATTGGGTTCCTAAGCACCTTGTCCATAAACTCCGTCACAAGCCAACTGTCAGTTATTAGTCGATTAGTGAAAGTCCTTGGACAGTTGATGTGTTTTGGCAGTAAGGACTTTATTTGCCAGCCCGATGGATCATCTATTTCAGGACCCGCAGTCATAGCCCAATCACAATTTGCACAACCAACAGAGAGCTTCCTTTGGTCATTCTTTAAGTAGATAATGTCCTTGTGTTGCTGAATAGAATACCAGACAATAGCTTGTTTCAACACATGTTGAGAAGTAAATTTCAACCCAACTGTAAACTCCACATGAGACATGTCAGTTTTCTCATTAAATGTAGGATATGTTACTTTTTTGCTCCTTTTCTGAATTTGTTGTTCCTCTTCCTCAGCATCAGATGATCTTAAAGAGCCTTCATCATCTGAGGATCTTTGATCAGAGACATAACCCCCTTCATATGTGGTGAAGTATTTAGGCCATTTACTTGAAGAAGATTCACATCGAAAGAGCTCTTGGTCTTCTTCATCTTTTTCTAAATTTTCTGCTTCTTCCATTGTTTGATCATCAAGTGTTCTACTCCCTTCAGCAATTGGACCTGATTTGTCCTTTGTATTTTTTCTCAAACTCAAGTTAGTAGCTCTAATGTCAAACAACTCTTCATCGTCATATCTAAGCTCTTGTTCAACTGTATCATCCTATCATCCCAATCGATAGAATCATCCGATTGAGCACCTCTTCTTCACCAAAATAATCTTCTTCTCTGTCAAAAAAATCAAATTCACCTCCACTTTGGATTTTCTCGTCTTCATCATCAAAAAGATCATTTGGATCGATTTTATAGTTTTCATCTTCAACACTATCATCAGTTTCAGAGGATTCGTCTTCAAATTCTATTAATTCATTTTCAATGGGAGGCATGGTGGAAGGGATTTGGGTTTTTTCTTCAGATGGATATATTAATGGTTTTCTTCTTTTTGGACTAATTTTTTCCCTCAGCATTTCCTCACCAAGCCAGTAGATGAAATCTGCTTCCAAAAAGCAATTATTTATGTATTAACAACGATTATATTTAATAATTATTTAATTAATTAATTAATCTCCATATACAGTAATATCTATTTGATTATCCTCACAAATTTCAATCAAGCGATAAAATTCCAAACAACTAAACAATAAAACCCAAACAACTAAGTAAATAAAAACAAGATCTCAATATTTTAGTTATTAATTTAAAAATTAATTACTTAGTAAACCCTAACTTTCATTGTTACATCATTAGTTTAATTACACTCACGATTTTGTAAATCAACAGTATAATAAGTAAGAAAATGGAGAAGAATATACTTACCTTTTATGATGCTTTAATGGTCAACACTCACAGTAAATTCAAGATTCTCTCCCCCTTGCTCAAGCTCTGCTGTTCGCTTTCCCCTTCTTATCCGCTTCTGTATTGGCTTTTCATTTATTTGGATGTTACTTCATAATTTTATAGAATTAATTAAAATAGAGAATAGGAAATAAAAAGTTGTCAGTAAAAGTCTTTTACACTAAGAATAAGGCGTGTGTAAACTACGCTAAAACTCCGACGAGGAAATAGGGGTAAATGTCACAACTTGTTAATTTATATACCAATATGTCGTCAACTGTTTACTTTTATACCAATATGTCGCCGGCAATAATTTTTATACCAATCTGTCACAAGGGTGTTAACTTTTATACCAATATGGTCAATTGGCCAGAATTAATATGGTTGTTATGGGCTATGTTACTTGGACTCGGGCACCCATGTTCGACACGGGTACGTGTCCAAGCGTTCGACTCGGTTATTTTGTGAAAAAATTCCATGATTTTGAGCTAAAAGTGAAGTGTCCGGGTGTCATACCCATGTCACTAACGAGGGTCCGACACGGATACATGAGGTGAAATGAAGAGTCTGAGTAACATAGATTATGGGTATGAAAGGTATTCGACACTTTGACTTACTATGCCCCAAAATTCAAAATATGGAGGTATTGTTCTAAATTTGATTACAATATGAGGACTTGGCATTACCTTTCTCTATTTTCAGACAATGAAACAAAGTCAAAATGAATTGAAATAATACATACATACATAAAACAAAATCATATAAAACAAAATAATATACGAAGTATTTTTTTTTATTTTTTCTTTTTTTTTTGTATGGCATTAAATACTAACCTTTCTTAGATCCTTGATGATACAAAATAATGTTTCTAAAGAAAATTGATTTGTCTAAAGCAAAAGGCTACAAATTGTACGAGGGAAAAAATATACGGAGTATTACAGAAAAAGAGAAAAACTGATGCTTAGATGTAAGGAGTGTTTAGCTGTTTACTGGTTAGATGAAGTCATAGTCCTTCATTTGTAACCTGGTACTCTGCTAGGTTGTCACCATGTAAACTCCTACTATAGACTTAGCAGTTAGCACCTAGTAAACCTTTCCGCATTACCTGCTAGGCTGCCACCTGGGTCAAAGTGTCAAAACTATTTTGTATCTACTAGATATAGAAGTAATGGACCAACCCATTATCTGTTCTTCTTAATTAGCTACTGCTACTCCCTCATTATGCTGTTTCTACTTTCTGAACATTTGTATATTACTTCCTCTTCCTCCAATGGGTAGAGCAACAGGAATGATATATTTCAGTTTGGATTTCTAACTTGTATACATTTTTTTTATCCCTTTTACTCCTACTACGTTCCTTCTCACTGATTCACTGTCCTGTCCAACTGTAAACTAAAGTGTCAGACCTGGATTTAGTGTCAGGATCCGTATCAGTTGGTGTCAGCATCAGCATGTCTGGCAACAGACGAGTCTGGGTAACATATGTTTGCTGTGCTTCTGTGCTATAATTCTTATGTTTGTATTGGATTCATTTGCAGCGTATCTTATGGGCTGCCCCATCCGAGGGGTCGTTTTAGAACCAATTGTGGCAATGCAGATGGGCATTCAAGGGCAGGTATCTTTGCTACTTTATCGTCCAGTCTTGTTTGGGTGTGACTTGCCAAGTAGTCATTTGATCCTCATCTCTGTTTATACGATGCAAGATAAAATCATTGCAATTTTGCACATCCTATTTTTCTTTACATTCATGCAATAAGTCTTGTATTAGATATCATTTTGAATAAGAGATGAAAAATATGCTGAAAGGAGACTAACGGTGTGTTTGGATTGAAGGAAATGGAGGGAAAGGAAGGGAAGAGAAATAGAGAGATGGAGTATCTTTCATTTGGATATCAAATGAGGAAGGGAGGGAATTGGAAGGAAGAGAAATGGAAGGATTAAATTGTAGAAAATTAATCCCTCCAACAATGGAGAGATTTGGAAGGAAAATGCTAGAGATCAGCCCAGCCCAAAGATCCGTTTCACTTATGCAAGAAGGAAGGCCAATCAAGGTGCTGTTGGAAGAGAATGAGCTGGTTTTGGGTGAGCTGGAAGTTAGTTACAAGGAGGGGTAAATCAGTAATTAAGAAATAAGTTTGTTAGTCCTTGTGGTGTGTGTTGAGTTTGTTAGGGCAGCTTGTAGTTATCCTTGGTTATTTAAGGGAATGATTGTAGAGGGAATGGATCGAGAAATCTTTTGTGGAATTCATTCCTTGGGAGAGCATCCTTTCCTCTCGAAAGAAAGGAGTTGTATTGAAGTTACACTGACTTGCAATACAATCTATATGTTCTTAGCTAATTTTCCCTTCTATTGTTTGCTTGCTCTGTTTTTCTGACCCAATTCCCAGCAAATTGGTATCAGAGCAGTGACGATCGGAGCTGAAAAAATGGCGAGGCTCACCAATGCGCAACGCATGGATTTGATGGAGTAAGAGCTTGCTGAGATTCCGGCGAAGGTTGCCCAGGAAATCGCTTCTGCTCTAGCTGCTCTCAAGTCTGATATCAACACCATCCGTGCTGAGCTTCGCACCACCGCTATGCCGGGCTCTGGTCCTCGAGAATCGAACGGAGGAAACTGGGATAATCCCTTTTCTGCTCAGCACATCGAGTATGGTGAAGGTGGTGCTCAGGGCAATACGAACTGGAAATTGCGGAAACTCGACTTACCATTGTTCGCTGGGATAAACCCAGATGGGTGGATTCTCCGTGCGGAGCGTTTCTTTCATTTTTACAGGTTGACGGAGGAAGACTAGCTAGAGGCGGCAGTGGTGGTGCTTGAAGGTGACGCGCTGCTCTGGTATCAATGGGAGCACCGTCGCCGCCCCTTGCTGACGTGGGAAGTCTGAAACAACTCCTCCTTCGCCGTTTTTGAACCACCGCCACGGGGTCTCTCCACGAACAGTGGTTAGCCCACCAGCAAACGGGAACGGTGGTGGATTATAGGCGTCGCTTCATCGAGCTATTAGCTCCGATTGAAGGGGTTCCTGAAGAGATTGCAAAAGGGCAATTTATAAATGGGTTACGTGAGGAGATCCGGGTCGAGGTCCGTTTGCTGGATCCGATTACTCTGGATTGGATCGGGCCATGGAGCTGGCTTTGCGGGTTGAAGAAAAGTTAAGATTGAGCCCACGACCCAAACTCGTTTCTAGCCCACACACGTGGCGTAATTCCAATCCAACCCCTCGTCCCAACCCGATCTCTCAGATCAACAATTCCCCAGGCCTAAACACGACCCTAAACACAAACCCATACTCCAAAAACACCACCACCACCTCCAAAAACTCCGGTGAGATAAGGCGGCTCTCTGAGAAGGAACTCCAGCACAAGAGGGAGCAGGGTTTATGCTTCAGATGCGACGAAAAATGGAACATAGGTGCCGCCGCCGTGAGTTGAGTGTTTTGCTCACAGTGGATGAAGAGGAGGAATGGGAGGAGTCCGGCGAGCTGTCGGCGGTTGAATCCACGCACCTAATACCTGAACCAAACACTAAGCCCACACCTATCCCAAACACAAACCCACCCGAAACTGAACCAAATAACCCTAAGGTAGCTCTGTGCTCAGTAATGGGGATTACGAGCCCTAAAACAATGCGCATGGTGGGAACGATTAAGGATCGAGACGTGGTGGTGATGATAGACCCAGGGGCGACGCATAATTTCGTGTCCTCCGTGGCTGCGCAACACCTCCAGCTTCCGGTGACAGAGGCTATGAACTTTGGGGTGACTTTGGGTACGGGAGACTTGGTGCAGGGCAGTGGTGTGTAAGGGGGTGATCTTGGAGGTACAAGGGGTCACTATAGTAGAGGATTTCTTGGTACTACCCTTAGGGAATTCGGACCTAATTTTGGGTGTGCAATGGCTTGAAAAATTAGGCACCACCATGACCAATTGGAAGACTCAGTCGCTCAAGTTCCAAGTAGGAGGGGAGATGGTCACTCTGAGAGGGGATCCTCAACTGGGCAGAACTTGCATCACTCTCAAAGCCATGATTAAGTCCCTGCAAAAAGAAGGTCATGGTTTCTTATTGGAGTGTAATCACCTGGGAAGTGTAGTAGAGGAACCACCATCTATTCTGACCATCTTTCAGCCCTTGATTAAGGAATTTGAACAGGTCTTTCACATGCCCGAAGGCTTACCTCCTTCTCGACAGATTGAACACTCTATCACCCTCAAGCATGGAGCAAACCCCATAAGTGTACGCCCGTATCGTTACCCACAATCTCAGAAAGATGAGATCGAGAGATTGGTGGCTGACATGCTTCGAGCAGGTATCATTCAAACATCCACTAGTGCCTATTCCAGCCCCGTGTTGTTGGTAAAAAAAAAAAGATGGTAGTTGGCGATTTTGTGTAGATTACAGAGCATTGAACAAAGACACAGTACCTGATAAATTTCCTATTCCAATGATTGATGAATTATTGGATGAATTGTGTGGTGCCATCATTTTTACAAAACTTGATTTAAAATCTGGGTATCACCAGATTAGGGTCAGCAGGGATGATGTGCCTAAGACTGCTTTTCGTACCCACGAAGGGCATTATGAATTTTTGGTAATGCCCTTCGGTCTCACCAATGCTCCCGCAACTTTTCAGTCACTTATGAATGAGGTGTTTCGGCCTTTCTTACGCAAGTTTGTATTGGTTTTTTTCGATGACATCTTGGTGTACAGTCCAAGTGAAGAGTCCCACCTTGATCATCTCAGATAAGTCCTTGAGACTTTGGCAGCCCATCAATTGTATGCGAATTTTAAGAAATGTGAGGTGGGAAAAACTAAGGTGGCTTACTTGGGGCACGTAATTTCAGCAGCCGGTGTGGAGGTGGATGCCACCAAGGTTCAAGCAATGGTGAAGTGGCCGGTGCCCACTTCCATTAAAGCATTGCGTGGCTTCCTTGGTCTCACGGGGTATTATAGGAAGTTCATTCAAGGATACACACTCATTGCTCAACCCTTAACCGATCAATTGCGCAAGGATTCTTTTGGGTGGTCTGATGAAGCTACTTCGGCTTTTGAGGCACTTAAGGCCGCAATGATCCAAGCTCCTATTCTAGCAACTCCTAATTTCACTCTACCCTTCATTGTGGAAACGGATGCCTCGGGACATGGTCTAGGAGCTGTTCTTTTACAAAACCAACATCCTATCGCTTTTTTCAGCAAAGTCTTGGGGTTACGGGCTAGAGCAAAGCCCATATATGAGAAAGAGCTTATGGCCATTGTCTTTGCCATTGAGAAGTGGAGGCATTACTTATTAGGAAGGACTTTTGTGGTGCGTACTGACCAGCGCAGCCTTAAATACTTGCTGGAACAGAAAGTGGTAGGCCAAGCTTACCAAAAGTGGGTAAGTAAGCTCTTGGGGTACTCATTTGATATACACTATAAACCGGGGCCAATTAATAAGGTGGCTGATGCTCTGTCCAGACAGCATGATACCCAAGTTGAATGTGCTTCTCTGGTAACTTCTTGTGGGCTTCAATGGCAGCTCATTCACTCTTTCATCAAGCAAGATCCCACCATTCAGCACCTCACTGCTCAATTACAAGCTGGTGAGCCAGCTCCCAAAGGTTTTACTCTGGAAAATGGAGTTCTAAAATACAAGCAAAGAGTGGTTGTTCCTAAACACAGTGATCTCACTACAAGGTTGCTGCGTGAATACCATGACTCTCCAATTGGGGGCCATGCCGGGGATTTCAAGACTTACCAAAGGCTAGCTAGTGAATGGTATTGGCAAGGTATGCGCAAGGATGTGACAAAGTATGTTCAGCATTGCCACATATGCCAGCAAAACAAGGTATCCACCTTGTTTCCTCTTGGTTTTTTACAACCTCTCCCCATTCCCGAGCGGGTGTGGGAGGATATTTCTATGGACTTTGTGGAGGGATTACCTAAGTCCTTGGGGTGGGATACTATTTTGGTAGTTTTGGATCGTTTGACCAAGTATGGTCACTTCATCTTGCTTAAGCACCCATATACTGCTCAAATGGTTGCTAAGGTTTTTGTCAAGGAGGTTGTAAGGTTGCATGGCATGCCCTCAACTATTGTGTCTGATAGGGATAAGATATTCCTAAGCATCTTCTGGAAAGAGCTCTTCAGGTTACAGGGCACTAATCTTCATCGTAGCACGGCTTACCATCCGCAAACTGATGGCCAAACCGAGGTGGTTAACAAAGGTGTGGAGTCTTATTTGCGTTGTTTTGTGAATGGGAAGCCCTCTACGTGGGCAACTTGGCTACATTGGGCTGAATATTGGTACAATACAGCCTTCCACACTGCCACTCAATGTACTCCTTTCAAGGCTTTGTATGGTAGAGAACCCCCCCCGTTTGCTCAGATTTACCCAGGGAGCCACTGCCATTTCCTCTCTGGAAGATCAGCTACAGGAAAGAGATGCTATTCTGGATGATTTGAAGTACCATTTGGTACAAGCTCAGACTTATATGCAGCAATATGAGAACAAGACTCGAAGGGACGGAGATTTTGAAGTAGGGGACTTGGTCTATCTCAAATTACAACCCTACAGGCAACACTCTGTAGTAAGGAGGCAATCTGAGAAGCTCTCTCCTCGTTTTTATGGGCCTTATC